ATTTCTAGCACTTCACTTATACCTTTAATCCATTTTCTTTAAAGGCTACAAAACATCAAGCTGGAAAAGTAGTTCATCAAGTACTTGGATATTTTAAAGAAGTAGAACGTCAACATCCCTTTCATTGAAAGCGATATTTCGAATCCCAAACTACTCCAAGTTTTTTAAGGGAATGTTGACCAAAAATAGGAAGCTGCCTAAGCACGAAACGAAAGCACTATCTGGAGAGCACAGCATAATTATCCAGAACAAGATCCCTCCCAAACTAAAAGATCCAGGGAATTTTACTTTGCCTTGCTCCATAGGAAATTTACATAATAAAAATTGTTTGATTGATTCAAGAACAAGCATAAATCTAATTCCTTTGTCTCTTTATAGAAAATTAGGATTGGGAGATTGTAAGGTGAACTCTATCATCCTTTAACTGGTGGATAGATCACTGAAACACCCCCATGGAATAGTTGAAGACATGCTTATCAAGGCAGGGGAGTTCATTTTTTTTAGTTGACTTCGTAATTCTGGACATTAAATAGGCATATCAGATGCCAATAATCCTAGGAAGGCCATTCCTATCTACAAGTCGGCCTTGCTAGATTTTGATATGAATGAGATGGTTCTGATGGTTAAAGATAAGCAGTAAAACTTCAACATGGAAAATCCACTCAAGAATTTTTTTTATTTTGAGGATTGCCAACGAGTGGACCATTGGGAGGGCTATAAAGGCATGCTAGATGAAGGTAGAATTGTTGGTAGAGAGTCGAGGATGATTGTGTAGAGAGTCGAGGATGAACCGAAGAAGTGCAACTAGTATTTGAAATGTGGGACTAAAAATTTCCTTTTCAAACCACGATGAAGAGCCTAAAAACATCAGAAGTCGAGCTAGGGATTTTAAACAAGCGCTTATTAGGAGACAACTCAATACTTCTATCCCTTTTATTTATTCAGCTTTTTAAATTTAGAATAGTTTAAGATAATGTAGATTAGTTTTTATTTAATTTTATAGACTCATCATTCACACCTCGTTTCCCTTTAGGTTCTCAATATATTAGTTGGTTTATTAGATATTTGAGCTAAGTAACACTTGTTTCAGGTATTTGATCTTTATCTAACCATATTATATAGGAACATGACATTACGGAGCACCTAAACCAGCGTTGACCAAGGAGACAACAAGAGCAATAGGACAAGCTAGCCATTTGATTTTATCAGGAGAATATTTTCTTCATTTTCTTCCCCACCCTTTATATATGGACTTACAATTTAAGACATTAAGGACAATGCTTAGTTTGAATTTGGGGGTGAAAAACATGAGTTTTCTATGTTTGCATTTTATCGCTTTAGATATTAGAAAAATACAGTAAAAAGATTGAAAAATTTCAAAAATTTCAAAAATATTTTCTTTTTTTGTACTTGCGTGAATTAGTTTGCCTAGTTGACAATGATGAATATATTGAACTATGAATTAATCTATGAATGGTAAATAGATTCATACTTAGGTTAATTTTTGCTTTTTTTTAATGCAAAATTTGATATATGTTGAGCACATGTACTAATTTAAGCATTGTGTAGGGATAAGTTGGTTTTATAATTGCATAGGTTGAAATAGTGGACTATAGATACTAAACCCAAAATCACTATATTATACATCCTTAGATCAAATTTAGAATAGTATGAGAAATTTCACTATTGTATGAAAATGCTGAGATAAATGGGGATTCCATATGTGAAATTAAAAATCTTGTGTGGATTGTCTAAGGTCAATATGATAAAGTTTGGCGAAAGTCTTAAGTTAGAGGTCGATTTACTTGGATGGTACTTAATGAAGAACATTTCACTAATCAAGGAGTAAGAAAAAGCATTTTATTTGAAAATTTCTCTTTGCTGCCTTTGTGACTTGAGAGCTTGTGAGGATGTTAAAACTTATTGTCTTAAAGTTAAATGACTTGGGAGTCATTGGCCTAAATTGGTTACATGGGTCATTCAAAATTAATGGAGAAAATGTTGCAAACAATTAAAAAAAGTGTTGAAAAAAAAATTGAGAAAAGAATATTGAAATCATAAAAAGCAGGTGGATGAAATAGAGGACGCGCCAAATGTCTTGGTTAAATCTCAAACACTTCATTCAGAGAAATTTGACTTTTGATAATGGATTATTAGCTTAGTTAAGCCCTAGAGATTGAAACAATCAAATTTGACAAAGAATCATTATTTATTGACATGTTGAATTACAATTTATGAGATTTATCTAAACTAGAGAGGTGAGGATAATATAAAATTCAACTTTAGACTACACACTCGAAGAAAGCAAAATAACAAATTTGGAGGTGTACGAATCTCACGAATGATGATAAGAACATATTTGAATATTGAGGGTTGAAAAGTGGACCAACTTGTGATTTCATCGTGATATGCTTGATTTGTCTCACACACGTGTCGACTTTGCATTGAAAAAGCAGACATTGATTTCTATATTGTGATCTTGAAACCATGTTTAGATTTAATGTCATGATTTCAATTATAAAATAAAATGTCAAGTTAGCTAGCTAAATATTTTTGCATATTTGTGAGTTTGTTCTATAGTTGGGTTTTAGTTTTGCTAGAGAATAAACAAAGATTCAAGTTTGAGGGTTTGATAAGTGTATTTTTACAATTATTGGGGGTCCTAAATGATGATATTTTGTTATTCTTTGGACGGATTAGCATTTAATTTGTTATTTATTGCTTTTATCGTGTTTGGACGAAGAATTGAAAGAAAGAACAAAAAAGAGCTAAAATAAAGTAAATCAAAAGTTCAAGTACTGAAGTGCAAATACTCAGAAGTTGTGACGGACTTCAATTCGATAATTAGAGATTGGTAAGATCAATTGGATGGAATAAGAAGTAAAAATTGAATGAAATATAATCAAATGATTTTCATAAATCAATTTCTAACCGCAAAAAGCATATTCATATTTTTAACGAGAGTTTGAGATCCATTTCTGGAACAATAAACATTCGGATTGGAAAAACTCTATTTCTAGAAGAATAGTGGTAATTTGTATTTCCAACGCACTTTGAATCATCTCAATCAAATATCGAGAGAGAAAGTTATGACTAAAATATCTAAAACTGTGCAGAGACAAAATCGTGCAGGTGTGAAAACAACTTTCCATATTCGATTGAAACTCTTTTGAAATGTAAAATGGAGGTGAATCTTAACCTAATTTCATTATATAAAATACAAGACATAGGCAACCATTGAAGAGCTTTCTCTCACCTCTTAAATCAAATCCATATCATAAAATCATTCAAGAACAAGCGGCAAATTCAACATAAATTGGAGATGAGAACAAATTTGGCAAGAGATTGAATCGAGAAACATCAAGGTCTTAAAGAATCAAATCTTGGGGTTGATAATTAAGAATAAGAATTAGACAGTTATATCTCTTTCTTGTTTTTATAAATTCCAGGAGATGTTCTTGCATTCTTCTTCTTGTTTTATTATTAGAAATATGTTTAGTTAGATTTCGTTTGTATTGGATGGATGATAAACCTTATTAGTTATTAAATTCAATTCATGACTCGTTAATTTAATAATGTCTTAAGTTTTTTTTATTATTTATGCATTTATATTGTGTTATTTAATTGTTTAGCTACCAATTATGTAACTCGTTGCCTATTTGTAATGATGGGAGACTCACAATACGTAAAACACTTTATATTTAAAACAGGACATTTATATAATGAATCCTATGAATTAATATATGTTTTTCATATAAATTCAGATTATGAATATGATCGAGTTGTGTTAAACATATGTTTAATATATTTTAAGAAAGAATATTCATTAAAATTGAATTATCGATTATCATTAACACTAGAAAATACTTATCACTCTTTATGGATCGAGAATTGAAAGTAGCACTAGTAGGAGGATTCAGAAATTCAATACATTCGTTTCATAGCTATAAAATCACTTTTAATTACTTTTTTAATTAGTATTAGCGTAAATAACAAACACAATCTCTGTTGTGTTACGATATATGGTAAAAGCTATTGAACTAAATATTAGATTTTATTTCTCATGTGAACGATAAACTCGAAACTCTTTAATTTCTATTACTTATTAATGGTCCCGTAAACTTGCTGGTTTTGTACAAACATGTGACAATCAAACCCCTCCTTTTGTATAATGATGATGAGTTGGGGAGTGCCATAAAGAGGAAGTTGAGAGCATAAAAAGTATATAGTTTCTACGTTCCTTTGCCAAGCTCACTCTTGCTTGTGCGGTGCTCTAGCATATAAATATTCATAGTTTGATGTTGAACATCAACTATATGCCTTCTTTTTTCTTGTAAAGTCTTTTTGACATGATGGTGAGTATCAATTTTTGTATTGATAAGATGATAAAAATTGTGGATTCATGATGTGTGATTGAAAATAAATTTTGAGAAATGGGGCAAAATACGGCAAATATCCAGGAAAAAAGAGCCCTTCATGTTTTTTTCCTTCTATGTTACAACTCTTGTGACTATACTCTCTTAAGAATGAAACTTGTGTTGTGCTTAAACGAATAAATTAATTGAAAATAATATTTGAAAGTTGCAAAGTTTCATAAAATGCAAGAATTTTACAAAAATGAGGCAATTCACGACATCCATGTTTTACTCATAATTAAGTTATTAAAAATTGATGCAAAATGTGAATTTCATATAGTTGAAAATGGATTTATATATATTTTTTTCCTGAGTTAGGTTTACCTATAAAAAAAATTGTAATTTTAATTATTTAGCCCCTGTTTGGCCTCCATTACGAGGAAAAATTAATGTGTGGAATAGTATTTTTTGTAAAATGAGTGGTTGAAAAAAAAGAAAAAAATTTAATTTATGTGTAATATTATTTTATGAAAGATTGTGAGGTTGAAAATAGGATAAAGAAAAATGAAATATAATTTAATAAAAATTAATGGGATCAAACGGGGGCTTAGAAGTGAAGAATAATATCTGAAAAAAGTATTTATTGCTCGTGGTCCTTTTATAAGGTTAGCCAAACATGGTGTTATTCAAAGCTCAGAAAGGAACTCAAAATCTCGATATTGAGATAAGAATACTGAAATAATCGAGACGTGCGATCTAGGGTTTCTGCGAGATGCCTAAGAACAAGGGTAAGGGAGGGAAGAATCGGAAGAGGGGAAAGAACGAGGCGGATGATGAGAAGCGTGAACTCGTATTCAAAGAGGATGGCCAGGAGTACGCACAGGTGCTTCGTATGCTCGGAAATGGCCGATGCGAAGCCATGTGTATAGACGGCACGAAGCGCCTCTGCCATATCCGTGGAAAGATGCATAAAAAAGTCTGGATCGCTGCTGGTGATATCATCCTCGTCGGACTTCGTGATTACCAAGTATAAGTCTTTCTTATCCTTCTGAGATTTTTGGTTTCTTTCATTTTTTTTTTGTGTTCCTGTTGATTCGTTTTTGTCTATTTTATGTATTAATTAACAAAAAATTGTTGATCTTTCGAAGATATACAAACAAAACAAACGCATGTTGGTTGTTGTTGTTGTTGTTGTTATTGTTAGTTTTTGCACAGAATTTTGTTTTTCTATTTGTTTTTTGAGATTTAGGCTTATTTTCAACTTTACTTTTACGTGTTTCTATGTTTTCATTTTTTCCCTAGTGTGTGTGTGTGTATATATGTGCTATCAGATTTTTTCCATTTCAATGTGTTCGCCTCTCAGTTCTATCCATTTTTGCAGTGGAGAATGGTGGTTTTATATTTTTTAATCAAGTAGGTAGTAATGAATCAATATATATCAACTGGAAGGTGTTCATTCCAAACCCCCCCTAGACATCTGTTGTTGTAAACCGAGTTCGGGGAAAAAAAAAAAAAAAAAACTGATCGTTTTTTGTGGTGATGTTTATCTTCTAAATATTACTATCTTTGATGCTAATAGGATGATAAGGCTGATGTAATCCTCAAGTACATGCCGGATGAAGCAAGATTATTGAAGGCTTATGGTGAACTGCCGGAGAGCACGAGGCTGAATGAAGGTATTGCTGGTGGTCTTGATGAGGAGGATGATGGTGCCGGAGATGATTACATTGAATTTGAGGACGAGGACATTGACAAAATCTAGAGACTCTGAAACTTGGTACATTGTCTGTGGAAGTCTGGTGATTTACAAAATGGTGCATTCTATGATTATTATATGACCTTTTATATTTGTACCAACATGGATGAAATAATAGTAAACTACCTTCATGTTTCTTTAATCACATGCTTTGATTTTTGAAATGTTAGAAATATGAAAATTTCATAATTGTCTTGCATATTCTGATTGTGTATGAAAACAGTTTCTGCCTTCAATTTAGTGCAAGATTTTGTTGCTAATCATATTGGAATATTGCATCTTGCCCCAGCTGACATTAGCTATACATGTTGTTGACCTGACCTTAGTGAGTCATGAAATGTACCTGCTGAACCTTATACTATCAACACAATTGCTTTGAAGTGTACTGTATACATGCATGCTGTAGTAACTGTTGATGGTGATTGAGGGTCAAGTGCCACGGTAGTGTCAACAAAACTTGAGTTTGTTGGGGGGTTTTTGTGGTTGCTTCTCATTTACTGCATTTGTACTTCAGTAATATGCACGGATCTCAGTTGTTTCAACTTAACATAATCAATGCAGTTATCTGATCTATTGACATGTGTAATTGTTTTAGCTGCTTCTTTCTCTTGTTAAATTTCATCATAACATAGATCAAGTTCTGTAGAATTCTATACAGTAAGCTTAAATAAATTCAATGATAGTATAAGCAATTTATTGTGTAACTGATTCTAAAATGGGCAGTTAAGAAATTAAGTAGATTGATGTTGATCATTTGGTTAAAACATCAATTTCTTGTGTATGCTTATGAATATAGGATGAGCATTCGAGAAACTAGAAAACTCGATCTTGAGCATTTATTGACTAACCTCGTTCGGATTCATCTGTGTTTTATTATTGTTTATTACATTAGACAGTAATAAGAAATATGTCAAGTAAATGAGTGAATATCACAGTACTTGTAAAGTGAAAAAGCAGGATGAGAATAAGAGCCATTGAGAATGGCATATGCCACAAGCTTGTTTGCAGCTTCTGTGGCATGGATTCCATCCCAGCTTACGTAATTGTGTGGATCACTGCAAGCTGTGGCACTGAGTGTGCGTCCATCGATCACTTTGCTGTTTCCACAGAAAACTTGAGGGTTGAAATTGTAGGCACCACCTCCTTGTCCACAGCATGCTTTGGTTCCATATTTCATCCCTGCATATATACCTGACTTTGTAACCTAATATGATCTCTTTGGTCATGCAAAAAACTGTGAAGCACGGGATACATGTCCTAGGGATGGAGTGTAATGTCTGACATGTATTGGACATGGACATGCCATATGGCATATTCTGATCTTTCCCGTTCAGTGTTATGTACTAAATGTGTCTAAAAGGGTCGAAGGGTCATACCATGAGAAGTGGGGTGTTGGAATAGTTCCAGCATCACAGTGTGAATGTCAACATAGATAACTTCAGCTTTTGGGAGTTCTTTTCTGATCTGTTTCATAGCTTTTTCTAGCATACTGTTGTATTCTACAACAGCATTGTTGTAAGAAATCATGCACCCAAATGAGTCAATATCAGAAGCCCCATGAGGGAGCTCTACCAGAAATGCAGGGTAGCAACCTATTGGTGCAAGATTCAGAACCAAAAATGTTCTCCCCCCTAATGCATAAATCTCCTGAAAAATCCATTAGTGAACAACATCACAGACTGTTTAAGATATGGTGAAAATGTCAGGGAAGTTAGCGTGGGAGGTTCCCGACCGATTTTTCTTGGTATTTGAACTGAAAACCTTAAATATTTGTAGCATTTTGGTTTGGTTAGGAACCAAAGTATGTAACTCGGACTTGGTGGAAATGAGATTTACGATTACCTTGATGGTGCTAACAATTTGGGAAATCACTTGAGGCAGATACTGCTTCACTCCCCTTATACCGATGGATGCCAAGTTTCCAGTGAAGTCATTTTGGCCTATATAGAATGTGTAGAGGGATTTTCCGAAAATGTTTGGTGGAGGAAGGTTGGTTCCTGCAAAAAAAATTCCATTAAATTTCCAATTGATTTGAACATTCATAAAAAAAACATGGAAAACATGCGTATGATCAATGTATTCGACCTTTATAGTGCTCGCCCCAAGATATTGGCCTCTAATGACTAGAAAAGAGAAAGAATAAGAGGCTCATGAAATTAACGTGAGTGGTACCGATAATTATATTTCTTGTAGCGGACTTTTAAATAAAAGAGTAATGTTCTTCATAGTCGTTGACTGTGATAGTCGTTTGACATGACATTCTACATAGCGATGTATAATTTAATAAATAAATATGGTAATTTTTGTTGACTTATATATCAAATTACCAACCGCTACGCTACGTAAGGCAATTGTGACAGTGAATGACTGCAAATAATATTATTTTAAATAAAATAGATGGCTCGAACAGAGAAAACAAGCCTAATCAGAGTCTCGACAGCGTTCGGGTTTTGTTCTTTTCTTCTTTCCCACATCCCTTATCGCATAAATTTAAAATTCCAAACACAAAATAAGAATTATTGCAAATTTGTATACCTGAAGAGTGAAGCTCATCAACTTTGACTTTGAATTGTTTCATTTGGTTAAGCTGGATGGCCAGTGAAAATGGGCTAACCCCAGTAACAAATAAGGATGTGTTTGGCAGGAGCACTGTGGATGCCAATGTTGCAAAATTTGCACCATGTCTGTAATCCGATCCAATTGATTGCAGATATGGGCTCACAAATGGCTGCCCCAAACCTTGAGCTGCGTTAACACGTGTCAATCTCAGTCCATTGGCATTGTAGAAATATTCGATAAGTCAAATGGCATGGAAACACGAGTTGAGAAGATTAAATAAGAGACTCTTCATTGTTTGTCCATTGTTTTATCAGTCGTCTAGCTTCATAAAGTGTACAAGATATGAACAATTATCTTATTTGAAACTCATATAAGTTATTCACGAGAGCTCAATACACCCATCCTGGGGAAGCTGAATTCATATACATGAATTCAGACTATTTTCTTACCTACTTTCATATTTGTCGACCACTTCATCTAAAATTTAAAACTAAAGAAAAAGAAAACAAATTTATATCACAATATTATTGTGCTTTAAGGACGTGTTTGGTATTCCGATTGAATATGTATAATTAGAAAGAAATAATAAAGAAAAGAAATAAATGACGAAATTTATCAGCCTTCATGTAACATGCCGACAAAAGATTTGCTGGTCCATCGTAATCTCGCAAAATAATAAACATCACAGTCATAAAATTATAGCCATCCACGAAAAATGCGAGAGCAATTCAAGTTAGACACGATTAGATTTGAGAAATAAATGACAAATTTAATGTGTATGGTCTCTAATCCAGAAGTTTTAATCATACAATAAAAGATTTTCTAGTCCGATTTCTCATCATACACAAGTCATCACATTAATATAGAAAATTAATCTTATAAGAATCGGATTAGATTGATTGTTCGACCTAGAAAAATTCAGAACGTGTTTGAATTCGACCTCTGGTTCAACCCCAATTTCACCCTTTAATCCTCAGCCATTTGTCTTTTCCGAGTGTTTGCCGATTTAAAAAAAAAAAAAAAAAAATTCCTTTGGGGTGGCCCATTTCAAGACAGTGTAAGAGTGAGATATTGGTGTGATGAAAGATTCTCGAAATGGATAACGCATGGACGAGTGTGGACAAGAAACGGACACAAGAAACCCATTCTTTACAGCTAAATATTTTGTCCTTTTAACACAGTGTGTCAATATCAGTTAACCACCAAACCTACATATAGCACTGCCTTTGGGTGGTGGGGGGTCACAGACCAACTTCAGTTGCTGCAATTGAGGTATGTTTAGTACGCTGTATTTGATTGAATCTTTAAAATAAGCGGTAAGGAAAAGTATTTTCGAGTTTTCGAACTACAACAAACAGAAATTATTAAATTTTCGAGTTTTTACTCATAATTCATCGACTCCCATCTCGACGCTCAGATGTAGCAACTTAGCACATGTTTGATGGCCATTATTTGGCAAAAATAAAGTTTTGAATGGTAAAGTTTTTAAGAATGTGTGATTGAAAAATCGGAAAAAGTTTTGGATTTACGTGTAAAATGTTTTATTATTGTATGAATGTATGATTGAAAATGAATATATAGAGTAAAGAGTTTTGAAATAATGGTTATCAAACATGAGCTCGTTATGGCAACCCGAGTACCATCAACAGCCCGTGATGGCTTGACCCCCCACGTCCCACGGGTGAATTAAAAGTCAAATTTATACAAAAGCATGCATCATAAGCCAAAGTTAAATTACATTTCATTTTTCTCTCTCTTATTTTCAATCATACAGTCTTCCATAAAATAATATTACACGTAAATCGAAAACTTTTCATTCTTTTTCAACCACTCATTTTTCAAAAAAACACCATTTCATCCATTTTCATTTCCAAAAAATGGGGGCCAAACGAGGACTAAATCACAGTTTAACATGAATCTACTCAACAACATTACCATCATTCTAGGACTAAAACATATTCAAATTCTTAAATCTTAGTTTCTACCCATAATTCATCAACTTCCATCTTGACACTCAATTATGGCAACTTATAACGGCGATCTAAGCTCAAAAAAGAGTCATCAGTGCTTCCCTCAGTCGCACAGATCCCACGAGTGAATCGAAAATCAGATTTATACGACAAAAAATCCATCATAATCACAGATTTTAACACGAAAACATAAGAAAATTGTTGGGGAGAATTACCTAAGAAATCAATAATGACCCTTCCATCAGTTGCTCTTCCAGAAGGCCTTTTGAAGTAGGTCATGCCATAGGGAAGCCTCTCTGCAGGAAAAGCAGCCCAAAAGCCTCCCGTATCAGTATTTGAGTCTCCAAAGTTGAAAATAGCTTCAAAAGGACATTTTTTTGCATCACTCATAGGCACTAAAAGTGCCATTAACACAATGCAAATCATCAAACATAGCTTTGGTGATATGCAGAATTTACTCATTCTTCACTCTCTTTGTGCTGCTTCAATTGCACAATTGCAGTAAGCTCAAAGAGAGTTTATGTTTTCTGTAGGGTTTGTTTGGACTTTTATAGCAGAAGAGATACAAGATTATTTTTCTCGAGTAACAGACAAATGTTGGATTAATCTCGTAATATGATACACGTCAACAACCAAACAGTGAACAACTCGGAGTTTAATAGATTTCTAAAGATTAATGGATTCTCATATATTGTCTGGACTTGAATAGAATTTTGTTCAAAATTCCTTACAGATTTAATGGATATGTTGGATTGTAATGTGTTTTTTACTTTATGATGAAATTATATACCGTTTGGTAGCAAATTTTTACTACAAAAAATTAATTTTTTGATCGTTATTTTACTATTTCAATTGTCATTTTTGACTTTTTCACTTACAAATAGATCCACTTTTCTTTTTAACGATCAAAAAAATCAATTCTCATAATCACTATCGAACATGTCCAGAACTTTTTCATAGATGTCTCGAAATAAAAATTCGAACTTTTTATTTAGAAATAAAATTCATAACTTTATACTTATTACAAAAAATTCATAACCTTATCATTTAAAATAAAATAAAATAAAAATTTATAAAATCAAGTGAGTAAATATTAAAAAATTAAAAATCAGTTCAATTTGAAAAACTGAACAAAATGGCAATATACAAAATCAAGCAAATAAATACCAACGAATTAAAAATCTATGTTCAATTCATTTTCATTAATGTGTTGAAAATTACATGTAAAATATGTACCAAATATTTTATGATTAAAGATATGCTTGGCTGGTGAATAGAGTTTCAAAAATATAATGGATTATTTCATTTTTCATTTTTAGATAGGTAGAATAAAAACTCGATTTCAAATTTCAACATAAACGAGAACTCAATTCTTCATTTTCTTTTCTCTCCCACTTTGAATTTTAGTTCTATAATCTAAAATGAGATATTTTATTAATATTTACTTTTTATTTTTAAATTCTTACTCATCAAATTTAATTAATTTCTTTTATTTTTTGTCAGAAGTATAAAACATATTACTTTATAATCATTTGAAATTTCTAAAGAATTTGGTATTTATATTTATGAGATCGAAATCACTAAAAACTATTAAAATCTTTCCAATTTATGAAACTCCTAAAAATGTACAAGTTATTAGGGCACCTAGATTTTAATAGATTTCAATAAATCTAGTTAATACTTGGTCAATCAAAAACAAAATGTTACTTTCATCTACATGGCAAAAAAAAAAAAAAAAAAATCCATACTTGGTGGATGGAGATTTAGAGAGTGGATGCAGAGAGGTCACGCAATTTGCAAAAATTGATCAAAAAATGAAGAGAATTATATAAACAAGTTGCATGGGATAAAAACATAATTGATATGGATGATGAATGAGTAGCATCGTGTAATTATGAATGAGAAATCGGTAGCATTTAATTTTTGAGTGACCAAACAATAACCAAAAATAAAGTTTGATTTTGAATAAGCAAGCAATAATCAAAGGTAAATGTTAGTGATTACTAATTTAATAAACTTTAAAATTTTATCATTGTTAATTATCACGTAAAATTTTTTGTCATGTGGATGAACGAAATTTAGATAGATGTAGGATGGGTAACTTTATGTAAAAGTGAGTAAGCAACCAATAACTTTTTATTTTCGATTGAGCAACTATTAACCAAAGGTAAATATTGGTGATTAACCATCTAATTAACTCAAAAAGTCTTACTCCTAATACAATGTGAAAATTACACCACCAACTAGGGGTGGATTTTTTTTTCCCCTAAAATCGTTGGAATTGCACCAAAATCAAATAGAATTATCCTGTTCGAATCCAGTTCCTCTACTAAACGGGTCAATTTTGAAAATATGGATCGAGAATTATTCTTCTGATTTCTCTTTTTGTTAGTGTATTGCACCAAGATGCACTAACTCTTTGAAGATTAGACCCCATAATTATCTAATGTCAAAAATTCATTTTTCATACACTTCTTGGTCTTTTTAAACGGAAACTTAGCCTTTGTTTGTTCTCCATTATCCAATAATTCTTTTTTTTATATACTCATTTTCAATCACATATTTGACAAATTAAATAATTTGCACGTATATTCAAAAAAATTTCTTTTCCTTTTTTTTAATCACACATTTTTTTTCAAAAAATCAATGTTACAAGATTTATTTTAAATAAAAATGGGGTCAAACAAGGGCTTAATAAGTAATCAAAATTCAAATTCAAGTAATTTTATAAATACTTTACAAATTCGTAGCTTTAATGTAACTCAGCAGGAATGAAAATATAGTTTTAGTTCAATATTTCATAAGAAATCAAATTTCTCGTTATTTTCAAAGTGATCAGCTATCAATAATCAAAATTATTGATGACTACAAAAGATAGTAATGTTATAAATATTACATGTATTCTTAATACATATTGTTGTATGGATTTTTTGAAAATTAATTTTATATCCAGATTTTACTGTTTATGTTGTGTTTTTTAGTTTATCAATTTTTTTTCTCTTTTATGAGTTGATTTTGAGTTTTCGAGTGTATTTTTTGTTTAATCGATGTTTTGTATTATAATATTATAAGAATAATAAATGATTTTATATTCTATTTTTATTTATTTTCAATCTAATACGCAGTTTCATATGTTATTTTTATAATTTTTAAGTGTAAGGAATCGGACCGAACTGAACTAAAACAGGGTGGTTCAATTCTCAATTCGATTCTATAGTTAGATATGGAACCAATGATTCATTTTTTATGTTTCTCGTTGGTATTCAGTTCGATTCATTTCTTCTAGAATGGAATCAAACTAGATCGTGCCCACTCCTACCACCAACTTGGGTCAAGCCCATTATTCCCATTGGTTCATAGTAATTGCACAAAATTTAAAGGCTTGAATGTTTGGTACGTGGTATTAGAAAGCACAGTATGCAACATTAATGAACAAAACATTAACTTCTTTTTTCCCTTTAAACCGATGAGTCGAGTATATCAAACGCAATAATTGGATTAGTTGCTAGGATACTTGATGTCATACTTCTTTCATGCCTTGAAATGCTGCGAGAAACTGTTTGAAGAACCTCGATTATCCTATGTTTCTTTGATATGAACCAAAGCAGTATTTATAGTCCACATTGATCAATATTTGCATTCTAGAAATACTCGTTTCAAGTTATATCCATATTGTTCTTTGTCTGGATTCGTGCTTCAAAACTCTCTTGCTTCTCCTAATATTGGTAAAACAAAAAACAATGGTTTGCAATTACGTGAAAAGTTCAACTTTTATTCATTTCATTGATCAAAGCAATGATCATCACAGATCATGCATTACAACAAGAGTCTATGTATAATTTCTTCAACCGATTGGTTGAATATCACAGTAGTGATGAAGAGAAAAAGGAGGATCATTATACGAGCCACTAAGAATGGCATATGTCATAAGCTTGTTAGCAGCTTCTGTCCAATGTACGCCATCCCAGCTTACATAATTTTGAGGATCACTGCAGGCAGTGGCTGTAACTGTGTGTCCGTTGATCTCCTTGCTCGAACCGCAGAAAACTTGAGGGTTGAAATTGTAGGATCCACCTCCTTGTCCACAGCATGCTGTTATTCCGTGCTGCAACCCTGCAGAACATTAGGAAATGAGAACATGGCATAAAAGAAATGGTACTGTGCTACTAAGTTACTTATTTTTCTGATTTTCGTAGTTACCTCTTTAACTAACAAATTCTTAATATGGTTTATCGGTTGATCTTGAAATTTTGACTAATGAGCTTACCATGGGATTTCGGAATCTGGTAAAGATCGAGCAGCGCTGCATTAGTGTTCACATATATCACATTAGCACCAGAAAGATCCTTTCGGGTTTGTTGAAGTGCATATTTCAACATATTGTTGTATTCATTGACAGCATTGTTGTAAGAAACCTTGCATCCAGATGCATCTACGTCACTGCCGCCCTGAGACTGCTCAGCCAAGAACCTTGGATAACAGCCTACTGGAGCAAGATTCAACACTAGAAATGTTCGTCCACCTAACGAGTATAATTCCTGTTTGTTCAAGAAGTGAATAATGGTTGGTTTAAAAAAAATTGTTACACACTATTGTGTTAATAAGACAGCATGAATCTGTTAGTGGTTGTACCTTGATGGTGCTCGTGATTTGAGAAATGACTTGAGGCGAATTCTCCTTCACCCCACCTGGACCGGCTGAATCTAGGTAGCCGGTGATGTCATTTTGGCCAATGTTGAGTGTGTAAAGCGCCTTCCCAAATATATCAGATGAAGGAAGATTGTATTTCCCTGATGATCAAAATAAAAAACCGGTGTGAATTAGACTGATTGACTCGATGTTTGCACCTTGTCAGTACCATGACTCAAAGTTGATGCTCAGTGTGCAGAATTGGACAAGACTTGACATGTAATATTATCCAATCGCCTTTACCAAACATGCCAAAATTGTTCAGAAACATGTTATTACCTCCGGCTTCATCGACTTTGGCTTTGAAAAGCTTCATTTGGTTGAGCTGAACACCTAAATAGAAAGGGCTAACTCCATTGACAAACAAGGAAGTATTTGGCTGGAGGACCGTGGAAGCCAATGTAGCAAAATTGGCACCATGACTATAATCAGATCCAATGGATTGTAAATAAGGGCTTATAAATGGCAATCCCAAAGCTTGTGCTGCATACAGATTGAAAAGTATATGATGTCAATATCATTAATCAATCAGAAGAGCAGAGGTTAAACATTGAAATTGTGAAATAATAAAAAAGTTACCGAGAAAATCGATGTAGAGCCTCCCGTCTGTGGCTCGACCAGTCGGCCTTTTAAAATAGGTCATGCCATTAGGCGATGGCTGAGACGGGAAAGCTGCATAGAAGGCGCCTGTATCCGAATTTGAGTCCCCGAAATTGAAGATGGCTTGGAAAGCACACTTTGCATCACTCTTGGGCATGATTATCGCCATCATAAGCAACGAAAACATCAAGAATTGCCTCATGATGGCAGAATCGACACTCAATCTCAAACAGTCAACTGTCTCAAGTACTTATTCTGATATTAATTATAGAAAGCTCATGAAGAAAACTGAATTGCCAGCTTCCTCTTCATATAGTAGTTGAGTTAGCAAAT